GGGGAGCAAAAATGCCAAAGAGATCCCTTTCCATGCAAACAGATTCAGGGATGGAGCTGGAGAAATGGGGCAAATAACACATGTGAGAATTCCTTGAAAATATTGTTACACTGCACCCAAATTGCTGAGTATGCAGAAAACCCAGGGGCTTCAGTGTTTGCCCAGACTTCAATTTCTTTGAGCGGAGACTTTGGTGTCTTTAGGAGATATGGGTTTGTTTTAAACATATAGAGAGAGCCTGAGCATAAAGTGGATGGGGTCACAGCATTAACACCCCCCAAATCATCCCCCTCAGTTCCTCACAGCTTTGGATCCCCAACACAATAAACAGCAATCTGTGTCTCCAGCTTCCAGGCTGCTTCCAACTCCGCTCTCACTTCCAACACCACACCTGCTTGGGGGCCAGACTAGAAGGGCCTTTGGCCTCACCCAGCTGCAGGGCTCTTCTCAGGATCAGTCCTGCAGATCCATATGGAAACATTTCCTCTTGAGCTTGCTCACCACCCTCTCCAACTCAACAGGTTGTCCCCAACTTCACCAACTGAGTTCTGCATCCTCTCCTCTCCTTGGGCACCAGCCAAAGCTAATCTAGAGGCTTGTATCCCACATTGCCCAATACCTTGGAATAGATTTTGGGGATGCAATGGGTCTGTAGGGGGGAAGAGCAGGGATTCCCATCCAGAAGTGGACGTCTGTGGCCTTGGATACAACCCCATCAGTGCCGCATCAAACTATTCTGTTGCCCTTCCATGCTCTTGAGCATTCTCCAGATCCATCTTTCCAAGGGAAAGGCAGCCTTAACCTTCTCTTTTCCTGGACACTCTTTGAGCACTGTCTTGCTGTCCATTCGTATGTATATGTTTGTGTTGTGCTCCTTTTGTAGTATTTGTGTTGCTTCCTTGATGCTTCATTTTAATATTGCTAGCTGACACTGGTTTAAACTTCTGTGCATTGTAGTGAATATATGGGGGGAAGTACAAAAAGTGGGCACCCAAAGGTGAGGGCAAGGCTTTTATATTAAAATTTGGAGATGGGGGAGAAGTATTAGTGCCAGTCGTGAGCTGTTGGTGTGGGCTGTGCCTGTAACATTTAGCAGGCAGTTGCTGGTCTTTTGCAATCTCCACAGAGATGGGCCCCAGGAGATGTCTTCAGCATCCTTTCCCAAGAGCCCAAAGTTCAAACCCAGCAGGCAAGGTGGGGAACCTGTGGTCACAGGGCTAAGTCCCATTTCCCCACCTGGTCTTGCTTCAAGTTAACGGACAAGCGTTGCTCCATCGGATACCCACAGGCAGCAAAGTTGGGTGAAGCAACTGCCAGATTCAGCACAGTGAACTTGGGAATGAGCCCAGATCAGAAGGTGATATCGGGGGGGGGGGGGGTGATGTTGGGAATGGGGAGCAGCAATGCCAAAGACATCCCTTTCCATGCAAACAGATTCAGGGATGGAACTGGAGAAAAGGGGCAAAAAAGAACATTTCAGGTTCCTTGAAACTATTGTTGCGCAGCAGCCAAATCTCTGAGTGGTGAGAAAACCCAGGGGTTTCTGTGCTTGCCCAGAATTCTGTTTCTTGGATTGAAGGTCAGCAGAGGCTTTGCTGCCTTTAGGATATCTGGAGGTATTTATACATATAGACAGCCTGAGCATAAAATGGAAGACTTCAATGCATGAACACCTGCAAAACTCTCAAACTGCCTCAGGACCTCTCTACCTCCAACGCCACCTCTCCCCATATGTACCAACCTGGATCCTGAGATCATCATCTGAGGCCCTTTTTTATGCGCCTCCTCAGTGAGAACACTAGGCTTCTGGGGGTTGGAGGTCAAGGAAAAGCCCACCCCTTAATCTGAAAGACCCCTTCACTGACTTGCTGCTCTTGCAACCTGGCACAGTTTTATTTATTTTTTTAGATGCTAATGAGGACAATCAACTAGCCAGCCAGAGTCGTTGCCTTACAAAAAAAAAACCCCTGTCTGATCAGTTCAGCAACCTTCTCTCTTAGATTCTAACCCTCCATAGGTACAGAACCCCATGAATGAGAAGGAACTCAGGGCAGGCTCCGATCCACAATATGAATTACCTTTCTGCTAAACCCCAGGGGTCAAAACCCTTCAGGTTTCTGATGTGGAGCTGGATGCCACAACTCACTTGCAAGCAAGAGGAAAGATGCCATCAGGGTTGGATTGGGGGCAGAGGTCCAGGGCTCCACTCAAGAGCACTTTTGGGTTGTACCTTTCAGATCTGTGATTCTATTCTGGGCTACGCATGCTGTGCCTCCTCTTTTCATGACTTGGATGTGGAAGGTGAAAGAAAGAGATTGGATGGCTCAAAGGACACGTCAGGAGGAGCTGAGGAGCAAGACATTGAGGTCAAAACTCCATGTGGAATCCACCGTACCTCGCAAGTCCTGCAAAGGCTTTCAAAACCAATGCAGGATGAATGTGGGTAGATGTGAGAGGGGGTGGACATCACTATCAGACCCTTGTCAGACAAGTGTCTGTGGGTCAGGTGTCACCCACTTCCTTTTGGGCAATGCCCTAAACAGATATATATACTCCACCTTAAAAGGATTGCCTTGTAGAGGATATTGGGATTGATCCCTTGGTGTTATGCTGAGCCCACCTAGAACCCTGTTCATCCCCACTGATTAGGAGCTGGAGAAAGGTGGCAATTAGCACACACGAGGATTCCTTAAGAATATGAGGAGCCTGGGACCAAGGCCCCAGAGGTCCACACCCTGCAGTTTGCTGATGTGGATCAGGGGGCCATTTCACTAGCAAGCAGGAAGAGGTCCCACCATCAGAGTAGAACTTTGCTCTTTGCATGTTCATCGGAGAAAAGCTGGAGGGGATGCACTTATGCGACCTCCGAGCCAAGGAGTTAAGAAATATTACACCCTTTAGAAGGCATCTGAAGGCAGTCCTGTGTCTCCTGCTTCCAGGCTACTTCCAACTCAGCTGTCACACTCCACATGGGCTCAGACCAAAATATCTCAAGGACTGTCTCTCCCCGTATGAACTGACATGGACGCTGAGACCATCATCAGAAGCCCTTCTTCATGTGCCTCCTTCGCAAAATGTCCAGAGGGCGACACAGCGAGAAGAGCTCTTTTCTGTGGTGGCTCCGTTTCTGGAATGCTCTTCCCCAGAAGGATAATTCTACTCTTTTAGGTGCCAGAGAAATACATTCCTCTTCTCCCAAGCCTTCGGCTAATGAAAAATCTATTGTCTTTTTAAACTATGTTAGGGTTTTATTGTTTACTTTGTTAATACGGTATGTATTTTGATGTTTTAGTATTTTGAACTGTGCTGCGGTCCTCAGATGAAGGGTTGTATAGAAATCTAATTGTTAATAATAATAATAATAATAATAATAATAATACCAATACCAATATTGCCCTGCTTATCAGCCAGGGGATGAGGATGGTGCAATGGCTCACCTATATGCCTCTAGGATCCCTCTTAGTTGCAGCTCTTCCCACCGGCCTTATTCTTTTGAGATGCTGATGAGGACACTCCAGTGGCCAGCGAAGGTCCTAGTCTTACAAAGAAAGTTGTCTCAGCAGCTCAGCAAACTCCTCTCTTAGATTCTAACCCACTGTGGGTTCAGAACCCCAAGAATTGGAAGGGATGAAGGGCATTCCCTGATCCACAGCAATATGAGCAACCTTTTTGCCTAAGCCTCCAGGTGTCAACACCTCACAGGCTGTGGATGTGGAGAAGAATGCCAACTCGCTTGCAAGCAAGAGAAGAGGACAGGGAGCGTCAGGGTTTTCTACATCTTAGAAGACGCCCAGAGTGGCTGGAGCAACCCAGTCCAATGGGTGGGTTATAAATAATATACATCATGATGATGATGATGGAAAAGGACACACCTCTTTTAACTGGAGAACTGTTGGGGGGTATGCATGCCTTGCCTAGAAGCCTGGGGGAAACCTTGCTGTGTGTTCCACGCTGCCCCCCACCCATCGCCTTCCTTCCCCCCAGCTCTGCTTCCCACCCTCCCCATCTCTACCTTTCCTGCCACGCAGGACAGTGATCAACATGCTGGGCCAGCCCACTCATGAGGCAACGGGCGGTGCCCACTTCAGGTGGCAGGATCCACAGGGGAATCAGATTCAGCCTCAAAGAAATGCATCTTGGTGACTAGGAGGTGTTGCTGATATCCTCCCCCTTGATAATAATGTATATTTTAACTCCTCCCTACTTTCCATTTTCTGGTTTGCCTCAGGGGCTCAAAGGTCTTGGGCCGGTCCTGTCCACAACGCCCTCCATTCCCGTTCTCCTTCATCGCCCCCTTCTTCTTCCTCCATGCCCCTCCAAGCGTCCAAGCACCCCCATGTTCCAGGAACAGTCCTGGACTTACAGAAGCTCCCCAGTTGCTGATTTGATCTCAGAATGTCCCACTTTTCCTAAGGACGTTCCCATTTCCATCAGAGAAATGTTGGAGGGTGTGGAGCTTGAGAGTGAGCTGCCTGAAGGCAATTCCTGTATAGGGAAGTTTATAAATGCTTAATGTGTTGCAATGTTTTTATATATATAGTTGAGCCAGGGAGGCTGGGGCAACCAGTCATATGGGTGAATATTATTATTATTATTCAATAGAACGTCCCTATATTCATCGGAGAGAGAAATGTTGCAGCGAATGTCCCCTAGCTTTTTCAGCTCTGCTCAATTCCTGTTTGTGAGACATCCTTCTCTGTGCAGCTGCCCAAGGAAGCAGGACAGTTGGAGGGGAGACACAGAGAAAGGGGCAGGAGGAGGGGCAGGGAGACCCCAGGGAGAGGTGGGGGCCTACAATGTGAGAAATGCCCTTGTGCAAAGCCATGTTTGGAAAAGCAACCACAAAGCCTGGATGGCACCACTGACTGGCAGAGAGAGAGACAGAGAGAGAGAGAGAGAGAGAGAGAGAGAGAGAGAGAGAGAGAAAGGGACTGAGAGCCTGACTAAAAGAAATACCCTCAACCCAGCAAACGTTTTCACAACATGAACCAACACAAAGGTTTCCAATGCTTGCATTTATTAAAAAGAAGAAGCTAAAGCATTTTCGCAGGCAAATCAAATCCTAGCTCCAATCCCGAGCCCACTTACTAAGGAGTCAGGCCCCGCTGGCCACAGAGGGGCTTACTCATGAGTAGACAGGCAGACAGGACGGCTCCCTCTTGACTCCTTCCCAGCATCGCCTTCAGCAGCATCAAGCAAAGCGGTTTCTTCCCCAGCAGAGATGGGGGTGCAGTCGAGGCAGCTGCACATCAGAGGAGAGCAGGGTGGTCTTCCTTTCACCAGAGGTCCTCTCCCGGAGATCTGCAGAGTTACCCGCCCCCTGTGAGAAGAGGAAAAACTCTTAAAATGGGTTTTGGTGGTGGTTCAGAAAACCCAAACCAGTGACTCCAACTGGGAGGCAGAAGAGCTGCTGTTGTCAGAATTCAAATTGCACACAGAGGGTCTGTTTTGCAGAGGGTTGGACTAGATGACCCCTTCGGTCCCTCCCAACGCTACATTTCTATTCTATGATAGTAGGAGAGACTTCTGAGCATTTCATGTATGCACTTGGAGGAATTTGAGCGGGGCTTTGTTGCCACACACACTTTTTTTCTAATGTGGTTCCTTTTTCTTCTTCTTTATGCAAACAGCAACCCCGGGAGAGGACACATTTGAGGAGATCATTGTGTTGGTGTGCATTGAACTCTTTCCCTTCCAACTCTGCAATTCTGTGATTCAATAATGACCTTCACAGGGATGTTTCACACAGGTTGCCTTTGCTATTTGAGGAGGGTCAGTGACTGAGCCCCCACCCTCTCACACCAGGAAGAGCTGTTCTTTCAGCCAAGGGAGGCATTCCTTTCCAGGCTAAGAGGAGTAGTGGCTGAGGGGTCAGAGAGCTTTCATGGGGGCAGCAAGGGGAGAGGAAAGGGTTGTCACCCCCCAGTGTGCACACTAATATTGTTCCAACTCACAGTGGATGTAAAGATTAAGAGAGAAGTGGAGTGGGGGGGGGAAACAGGGGGATGAGTCACATGCATTTGGAGTCATGAAACACAATTAATTTTTGAGGAAAACTAAGATTTGATTTAACTCACATCTACGGCAACACCATTGGCGACCACACCTAAAAAGTGTGTTTTGGGGCGGCCAGCACCTACGAAATTGCAGTATCCCATTCTGCTGTCGACATCTCTGGAATGCAATAACCTTGGGCTCTGGTGAAATCTGAAGGAAGAATAAGAAGACGTGCTCTGATGGTGTTTCCTGCTTGGCAGGGGGTTGGACTCGATGGCCCTTGTGGTCTCTTCCAACTCTAGGATTCTATGATTCTAAGACATTGAAGGCTCTGTCTCACAGGACTGTTCTTCTACACCTTCCACAACTTCTTCCACAATGGCCCTGCTGGCTTGGACACCCAGAGGGCACCAGGTTGGGGAAAGCTGGTGCAGGAAGAATGCAGGGCTGGAGCAGAGAGTCAGTCCCTTTTGCTGCCTCCCTGCACCTCCAGGACAGGGTATGAGCCAAGGTGGTAGGGAAGGCTGCATCAGAGACACTGGCTTCACTGGGCAGCCACTGGCAGACTGGGAGAGAGATGCCCCCTTGCCCAGGAAACTGGCCCGTTCTTTTACCCACCACAAAGCTGAATGTGTTGAAGCGCATTATTACAGATTTGAAAGCAAGAGCTTCCGTGGATCACATAAATGAGGTAATAAGAAGAGACTGGCTGGTGGATCTGGCCAAAGGGGGCCCATCGAGTCCAGCATCCTCTTCTCACAGTGTCCAACCTGAAGCCCCATTTGGGAAACTCTCCACAAGGACAGAGGGGCAAGATCCCACCTCTTTGGGAGTCAGAGCAAGTGGTGTTCAGAGTCAGGTTTAAATTGAATACAGCGGAGAGCTGTGAAGCTGTTCAGAGAAGAAGCATCTGAGAAGAAGGCCATACCTGGAGCCAGCAGCATCAAGAAGAGGACGGCCACAGAGAGGAGGCAGAAGACCTTCATGGCTGGAGGTTGGTGGGAATCCTGGAGATACCAGAAGCCAAGTGGAAGAGCAATTGCCAGGGGAAGGAGAGGTCCCTCTACTTATAGGTGACTGGAGGCCTGTTGAAATCTTGTGGGATGCCAACCGTTGTTTGCAGGATGGATGTGGCAAGCTCTGAGCTTCATGTGCCAAGGATGAGCCAAATACCACAGAATCATAGGTTCACAAAAAGGACATCAAGGGTCATCAAGTCCATCCCCCTGCAATGCAGGCATCACAGCTTAAGCATCCCTGACAGCTGCCCATTCAACCGCTGCTCAAAATCTCCCTGCAAAGGGGAAGAAGGCACTTTCTGAAGGGGTCCCTTTCACTGCTGAACAACTCAGAAAGTGAATCTGTTTGTTTGTGTCTGCTCACAGTGGCACAACATCTTTTGATGTCCCCTGGGGGGGGGGGTTTGCAGGCGGGACCAGGGCCTGGGTGCAGAGGGTGAACAAAACCTTTCCACTAGCCCAAATCTAGACTCCATCACTGCTAGGCTGGCATGGGGCACCGAGGGTTCACAGGGCTGTGCTGTGCACCCTCCTCGCCTTCCCACACCAAGGGGGGATCATGCCTGGCGATGGATGCTCCTGGCAGGTGCTCCCCCCCAACACTGGCTGGGCGGCCATTCAGCATGGGGTCAGGGTCCTAGCAGCAAGGCCAGGCTGGGCTCCAGTGGGCAGAGATGCCCAGGAGCAGGCTCTGCGGGGATCCTAGCATGGGGGCATCTGGCTCATGCCCCCTCAAAATCATGTGCCCGGGGCTACAGCCCACAGTACTCCAGATCGATTTCTTGTGCCAGCACTTCTGCTTGGGCAGTTGTGAGATGTTGGTCTGAGCTGTGTCCTGCCCAGTGATATTTAGCAGGCAGTTGCTGGTCTTTTGCAATCTCCACAGAGATGGGCCCCAGGAGATGTCTTCAGCCTCCTTTCCCAAGAGCCTGAAGTTCAAACCCAGCAGGCAAGGTGGGGAACCTGCGGTCACAAGGCTAAGTCCCATTTCCCCACCTGGACTTGCTTCAAGTTAACGGACAAGCGTTGCTCCATCAGATGCACACAGGCAGCAAAGTTGGCTAAAGCAACTGCCAGATGCAGAAAAGTGAAATTGGGAATTAGCTCAGATCAGAAGGTGATATCGGGCGACCGTGCATGGGATTGGGGAGCAAAAATGCCAAAGAGATCCCTTTCCATGCAAACAGATTCAGGGATGGAGCTGGAGAAATGGGGCAAATAACACCTGTGAGAATTCCTTGAAAATATTGTTACACTGCACCCAAATTGCTGAGTATGGAGAAAACCCAGGGGCTTCTGTGTTTGCCCAGACTTCAATTTCTTTGAGCAGAGACTTTGGTGTCTTTAGGAGATATGGGTTTCACACTTCAAAACGACCTTGACAGATTAGAGAACTGGGCCAAAACAAACAAGATGAATTTTAACAGGGAGAAATGTAAAGTATTGCACTTGGGCAAAAAAAATGAGAGGCACAAATACAAGATGGGGGACACCTGGCTTGAGAGCAGTACATGTGAAAAGGATCTAGGAGTCTTGGTTGACCACAAACTTGACATGAGCCAACAGTGTGACGCGGCAGCTAAAAAAGCCAATGCAATTCTGGGCTGCATCAAGAGGAGTATAGCATCTAGATCAAGGGAAGGACTAGTGCCACTGTATTCTGCTCTGGTCAGACCTCACCTGGAGTACTGTGTCCAGTTCTGGGCACCACAGTTCAAGAAGGACACTGACAAACTGGAACGTGTCCAGAGGAGGGCAACCAAAATGGTCAAAGGCCTGGAAACGATGCCTTATGAGGAACGGCTAAGAGAGCTGGGCATGTTTAGCCTGGAGAAGAGGAGGTTAAGGGGTGATATGATAGCCATGTTCAAATATATAAAAGGATGTCACATAGAGGAGGGAGAAAGGTTGTTTTCTGCTGCTCCAGAGAAGCGGACACGGAGCAATGGATCCAAACTACAAGAAAGAAGATTCCACCTAAACATTAGGAAGAACTTCCTGACAGTAAGAGCTGTTCGACAGTGGAATTTGCTGCCAAGGAGTGTGGTGGAGTCTCCTTCTTTGGAGGTCTTTAAGCAGAGGCTTGACAACCATATGTCAGGAGTGCTCTGATGGTGTTCCTGCTTGGCAGGGGGTTGGACTCGATGGCCCTTGTGGTCTCTTCCAACTCTATGATTCTATGATTCTATGATAAACATATAGAGAAAGCCTGAGCATAAAGTGGATGGGGTCACAGCATTAACACCCCCCAAATCATCCCCCTCAGTTCCTCACAGCTTTGGATCCCCAACACAATAAACAGCAATCTGTGTCTCCAGCTTCCAGACTGCTTCCAACTCCGCTCTCACTTCCAACACCACACCTGCTTGGGGGCCAGACTAGAAGGGCCTTTGGCCTCACCCAGCTGCAGGGCTCTTCTCAGGATCAGTCCTGCAGATCCATATGGAAACATTTCCTCTTGAGCTTGCTCACCACCCTCTCCAACTCAACAGGTTGTCCCCAACTTCACCAACTGAGTTCTGCATCCTCTCCTCTCCTTGGGCACCAGCCAAAGCTAATCTAGAGGCTTGTATCCCACATTGCCCAATACCCTGGAATAGATTTTGAGGATGCAATGGGTGGGGTCTGTAGGGGAGAAGAGCTGGGATTCCCATCCACAAGTGAAAGGCTGTGGCCTTGGATACAACCCCATCAGTGCCGCATCAAACTATTCTGTTGCCCTTCCATGCTCTTGAGCATTCTCCAGATCGATCTTTCCAAGGGAAAGGCAGCCTTAACCTTCTCTTTTCCTGGACACTCTTTGAGCACTGTCTTGCTTTCCATTCGTATGTATATGTTTGTGTTGTGCTGCTTTTGTAGTATTTGTGTTGCTTCCTTGATGCTTCATTTTAATATTGCTAGCTGACACTGGTTTAAACTTCTGTGCATTGTAGTGAATATATGGGGGGAAGTACAAAAAGTGGGCACCCAAAGGTGAGGGCAAGGCTTTTCTATTAAAATTTGGAGATGGGGGAGAAGTATCAGTGCCAGTCGTGAGCTGTTGGTGTGGGCTGTGCCTGTAACATTTAGCAGGCAGTTGCTGGTCTTTTGCAATCTCCACAGAGATGGGCCCCATGAGATGTCTTCAGCATCCTTTCCCAAGAGCCCGAAGTTCAAACCCAGCAGGCAAGGTGGGGAACCTGTGGTCACAGGGCTAAGTCCCATTTCCCCACCTGGTCTTGCTTCAAGTTAACGGACAAGCGTTGCTCCATCGGATGCCCACAGGCAGCAAAGTTGGGTGAAGCAACTGCCAGATTCAGCACAGTGAACTTGGGAATGAGCCCAGATCAGAAGGTGATATCGGGGGGGGGGGGTGATGTTGGGAATGGGGAGCAGCAATGCCAAAGACATCCCTTTCCATGCAAACAGATTCAGGGATGGAGCTGGAGAAAAGGTGCAAATAACACATTTCAGGTTCCCTGAAAATATTGTTGCGCAGCAGCCAAATCTCTGAGTGGTGAGAAAACCCAGGGGTTTCTGTGCTTGCCCAGAGTTCGGTTTCCTTGGATTGAAGGTCAGCAGAGGCTTTGCTGCCTTTAGGATATCTGGAGGTATTTATACATATAGACAGCCTGAGCATAAAATGGAAGACTTCAATGCATGAACACCTGCAAAACTCTCAAACTGCCTCAGGACCTCTCTACCTCCAACGCCACCTCTCCCCATATGTACCAACCTGGATCCTGAGATCATCATCTGAGGCCCTTTTTTATGCGCCTCCTCAGTGAGAACACTAGGCTTCTGGGGGTTGGAGGTCAAGGAAAAGCCCACCCCTTAATCTGAAAGACCCCTTCACTGACTTGCTGCTCTTGCAACCTGGCACATTTTTATTTATTTTTTTAGATGCTAATGAGGACAATCAACTAGCCAGCCAGAGTCGTTGCCTTACAAAAAAACCCCCGTCTGACCAGTTCAGCAACCTTCTCTCCTAGATTCTAACCCTCCATAGGTACAGAACCCCATGAATGAGAAGGAACTCAGGGCAGGCTCCGATCCACAATATGAATTACCTTTCTGCTAAACCCCAGGGGTCAAAACCCTTCAGGTTTCTGATGTGGAGCTGGATGCCACAACTCACTTGCAAGCAGAGGAAAGATGCCATCAGGGTTGGATTGGGGGCAGAGGTCCAGGGCTCCACTCAAGAGCACTTTTGGGTTGTACCTTTCAGATCTGTGATTCTATTCTGGGCTACGCATGCTGTGCCTCCTCTTTTCATGACTTGGATGTGGAAGGTGAAAGAAAGAGATTGGATGGCTCAAAGGACACATCAGGAGGAGCTGAGGAGCAAGACATTGAGGTCAAAACTCCATGTGGAATCCACCTTACCTCCCAAGTCCTGCAAAGGCTTTCAAAACCAATGCAGGATGAATGTGGGTAGATGTGAGAGGGGGTGGACATCACTATCAGACCCTTGTCAGACAGGTGTCTGTGGGTCAGGTGTCACCCACTTTCTTTTGGGCAATGCCCTAAACAGATATATATACTCCACCTTAAAAGGATTGCCTTGTAGAGGATATTGGGATTGATCCCTTGGTGTTATGCTGAGCCCACCTAGAACCCTGTTCATCCCCACTGATTAGGAGCTGGAGAAAGGTGGCAATTAGCACACACGACAATTCCTTAAGAATATGAGGAGCCTGGGACCAAGGCCCCAGAGGTCCACACCCTGCAGTTTGCTGATGTGGATCAGGGGGCCATTTCACTAGCAAGCAGGAAGAGGTCCCACCATCAGAGTAGAACTTTGCTCTTTGCATGTTCATCGGAGAAAAGCTGGAGGGGATGCACTTATGCGACCTCCGAGCCAAGGAGTTAAGAAATATTACACCCTTTAGAAGGCATCTGAAGGCAGTCCTGTGTCTCCTGCTTCCAGGCTACTTCCAACTCAGCTCTCACACTCCACATGGGCTCAGACCAAAATATCTCAAGGA